AATAAGTATGGTGAAAGAATACAACCCTGGCACACACCTTACCTAATTTTAAACCATTCACTGTTTCCTTGTTTTGTTCTAACAACTGCCACCAGGTGTATGTACAGCTTCCTCATAAGCACAATTAAGTTTTCTGGAATACTCATTCTCTGAAATGCTGTCTATAGTTTTTCATGATCCACACAATCAAAACCCTTTGCATAGTCAATAAAGCATAGATATAGCATATCTTTCTGGTATTCTCTGCTCTCAGCCAAGATCCATCTTACATCAGCAATAATATCCCTCGTTCCACGTCCTCTTCTGAATTCAGCCTGAACCTCTAAAAGTTCTCTGTCAATGTGGTTGTAGACATTATAGAATTATCTTTAGCAAAATTTTGCTTGTGTGGGATATTAATGATATTGTCTGATGGTTTCCACATTCTATTAGGTTAACTACTCTCTTTGGAATGGGCACAAGTATGGATTTCTTCCAGTCAGCTGGCCAGGTAGTTGTCTTCCAAATTTCTTGGCATAGATGAGTGAGTGCATCCAGTCCTTCATCAGTTTGTTGACACATTTCAATTTGTATTTCATTAATTCCCAGAGCCTGTTCTTTGCCAACGTCTTCAATGCACCTTGGACTTCTTCCTTTAGTATCAATGGCTTTTGATCAATGCATTGCTGGTGGGAATAAAGTGCAGTTGCTGTAGAGAACATTTGGTGGATCCTCAAAAAATTCAACATAAAGCTCCCATATAATTCAGCAATTCCTCTGCTAGATATATACCCAAAAGAATTGAAAGCAAAAAATACAAACATTTATACATTAAAGTTCATTATAGAATTTTCACAATAGCCAAAAGCAGAAACAACACAAATGTCTATCAAGTGATGAATGTTGTTTTTGCTGTTAAGTGCCCTCCAGTCAGTTTTGATTCAAAGCAACCCAAGGAATGGCTGCAGAGTTTGAACCACGGACCTTAACAGTTAGTCCAGTGCTTATCCTACAGTGCCACATAAAGAGTCCAACAAATGAATCAATAAACAAAATGTGTTATAGGCATATAATGGAATATTATTCAGTCATAAAGAGAAATGAAATTCTGGTACAAGTTACAATATGTATGAACCTTGAAAATATTACGCTATGTGAAGTAAGTCAGACTCAAAATGACAAAGACAAGGAAGCTTCGAAAAGTTTATGAAGTCAGGCTTGCGGGGTAAACACTTTGGTTGGCTGATGATGCATGGAGGAGGTTGTAACCATGGCAATGAAACGATATACGATACGATGAATGTAAAGCTAATGTTCTCCCATGTAAACTATCACATAATTCACAATAAAACATTTGAAAAAAGAAAAGTTTATGGAAAAATTAAAAGATACTTAAATGTTTCCACAAACTTTTTGAAGTTGCTTGTTACAACTCAATGTTAAAAAAAAAAAAAAAAAAATCCTCACAACTAGACCAATAAACTCCATCATGATAAATGGAGAAAAGACTGACGTTTTCAAGGTTTTCATTTTACATCAATCTACAATCAGTGCTCATGAAAACAACATTCTAGCAATCAAACAACATATCGTGTTAGGCAAATGTTCTACAGAAGACCTCTTTTAAGTTTTAAAGAGCAGAAATCACTTTGAGAATCAATATGTGCCTGACCCAAGCGATATAATTTTTAGTTGCCTCACATGCAAGCAAAACCTGGACAATGACTAAGAAAGATCAGGAAGAATTGATGCACTCGTATTAATGTGCGGGCGAAAAAGACCAAAAGTACTATGGACTGCCAGAAAAACAAACAAATCTGTCTTGGAAAAAGTACAGTCAGAATGCCCTTAGAAAAAAGGATGACAGGATTTCATCTCAGATAATCAGGAGGGACCAGTCCCTGGAAAATGACATCATGTTTGGTACAGGGTCAAGGAAAATATGGAAGACCCTTAACAAGATAGACTGACAGTGACTGCTACAATGAGCTACAAAGACAGGAGGCTGTCTTTGATCTTCATCAGCTAATGTTTCTTGTCTCTTTGCATTCAGCAAGCAAGGTTATGTCATCTGCATATCATGGGCTGTTAATGAGCCTTCCTTCAATCTTGACGCTACATTCCTCTAAAAATAATCTAGCTTTTCAGATTATTTGCTCAGCATGCACACAGAATAATATACTAGCCAGTTTGGTAACAACTTTTTAAAATATTATGAATTACTCAATGCCTGAACTGTCAATTGGCTTTGATACTTTCAGTTTTAACATTAAGGTACAGAATCCGCACTACTATAAAATATAACTAAAAGCACTTTAGAAATGTTAGGAACTCATATGCATTTTCATTTTATGTGGATTCACAATCAAGAAATGACACAACATATTGCACTGGGCACATCTACTTCAAAAGACCTCTATAAAATTTTAAACAGCAGAAACGTCACCAAGGTGCACCTGACCCAAACCATGGTATTTTTCAATCACCACATATGCATGCAAAAGCTGGACAATGAATAAGGAAGACAGGAGAAGAACTGATGCATTTGAATTATGATGTTGGTGAAGAATACTGATTATACCATGGACTGCCAAAGAATGAACAGATCTTCATAGTTTTATAAGTATTGCTCCTTAGTTTTACAAGTATTGTAAAGTATTTACAAGTATTGCTCCTTAGTTTTACAAGTATTGCTTCATAGTTTTACAAGTATTGCTCCTTAGAAGACAGGATGGTGAGACTTCTCATGTACTTTGGATGTTATCAAGAGGAATCAGTCTCTGGAGAGGGACATCATGCTTAGTAAAGAGTCAACACAAAAGAAGGTCCTCAGTGAGATGGGCTGACATAGTGTCTCCAATAACGAGCTCAAACATAACAACTGTGATACAGGACAAGATCGGACAGTTGTACATACGGTTGCTATGAGTCAGAACCAACTGGATGGCATTTAAAAACAATAATAAATGAACTCAAAGGAAGTCTACAAAAAGAAAATGAAAACAAGGTCCTATCAGATGGTAGATATAACTGGGATCAGAAACCTGAATTCTTGGTCTTGGATTATAGTCATTATCTCTGTTTCCATCCTTTATGTCTTTGTTGATGTCTTTTTTATTCTGCTGTGTCTTTTGTTATTACCAACTGAATTCTCTATGAATACAAATACAGCAAATCTTTTCAGTTTTAATTTGGAATACATTGAAACAATTTTCTTCATTTTCTGTAAATCCTACTAGACAATGTTCTACATTGAAAAAACTTAAAATAATTTCCTAATCACAAATTTAACAACAACAACAAAAAAAAAAAAAAAAAAAAAAAAACAAGAAATTATACTTAGGCATTTATCATTATATAGTTTAAAAAAAAAAAAAAAAGTTAGCCTTAAACGTCAGATAAAAAGTCCCATAAGGAAATTCAAAACCAACCTATATTTCACTGGAGAGACAACAATTATACTAAGGTTCCTATAACTGTACCCAATAGTATTTCTCATATGTTCTGATTCTCCATAGCATTACACAGCCTATTATGTGGCATGACCCAAGACGGCAAGTCACACTGGCATTTCATAAGCCTAGAAGGGTTGTAAAATAAATAGTTTCCCGTTTATCTGTGATTCTAAGCTTACAACCCTTAGCAAGACAGTATGGAAGAATGATGATGAAGAGACAGACTTTATTAAAATGAAACAATCATGTAAGGTACTAGCCTGTCATATGCAGCAATCATAAAATTGAGGAGGAGACTGATAGACTGTTCCACACTGATCTGGTGTGTAGAAGGCAGGCGTTTGTTCAGCTGGTAGTAGACTGATGAGATGATAGTTTCAAGGCGGGACACACTGATCTCAGTGTTATGGTCTAGTGTATTAAGGCCATTATCTCGGAAGGCTTCAATCATGTTCCAGATATCAACAAGATGAACTAAAAACATGAAGAAACAAGCAGTCAACAATTTTAAAGTACAGAACTTCTTTCATAATTGGACACTTAAATCTATCAATTATCATATATTTTCTTAAATAATGTACCTACGCCTATAACACACAGAAATGATTACATTAAGTAAATCAATTCTGGCATAGTGTGTCTCTGTATATGCTATACATATCACACATACTTCTAGAAGTGAATTTCAACTTCATCCATCCATCCTCCCCTATTACAGGTAAATCAAGATCGATCTGTTCAATTTCTTTTACCTCCTGTTTAACTGTATAAAATTAGTTCAAAAATTCAGACAATAATTAAATTAAGATTATAAACCATGATCAAGAAGTCATAAATTAAGTTTGGCAACCCCCAGTAATTGGAAAATAAATAATCAAATCTTTGTGGTTGTTTCTATTAAGTTGATAGTTATAGTACATTAACTCAATAGCTGATTGAAAAAAATATTTTAAGATTTTAAGTGAAACTTTGTGTTATGCTTGGTCTGCTTATTTCATAGTTTAATTATGCCTGCTTGGTGTCAATGAAAGTCAAAAACATTTCTTTTTAATTTGGCAAAGGTTTCATATACAAATAATGTGTGGGAGGTAAAACAGTGTATTATGTGTACATTATTTCGGGGAGGGGGGAGTTTTTAAGTCCAAAGCAAACAAACTCTTTAGAAAACACAAGAAAAACATTTTGTGACAGAACAGAAAGAGGTTTGATCCCTGAATACATCAAAGAGCCACCACAACAGCCCAGGACTGCCACCAGACTTCATATTTCAGCTTTCTGTTAATGATGACCCATGCAGTTCCTAATGATTGGCACATCGATTGACTACAGACAGGTATGGGCTATAATGAAAAATGGGGGTAATGATAAAATGCAAAAATATATAAATAGTGAGGATAATTGCACAATTCTGTGAATATATTAAAAAAGACCACACATATACTATAAAGAGGTAAATTTTATGGTAATAAAAATTAAGCTCAATTTAAAAGGGAGATTAGAAGTAAAACACTTTGTATAGGTAGAAAGTCACTATCTGATGATAAAAGTTTTAATTCATCAGAAAGATAAAAGCACTTTACATCTGTTTACACCTAGTAACACTGTCTTAAGATACATAGAGCAAAAGTTAACAAATCCTCAAATAGAAACAGGAAAATTTACACTCTTACTTGGATATATTAACATACCTCTCTCTGTAATTGACAGATCAAGCATATGGATATATCAGTATAGACACAGAAGATTTAAATTTCACAATTAATCAAATTGGCATAATAAGTACCTTATTAAGTACTGCTCCCAATTACTAGTGAATGTCCTTTATTATGAAATACACATGTACTTTAGGAATCTATGTAAAAATTGACTGTAAGGCAAATCTCAACAAATTCCAATTAAAATTATATAAACCATGCTCTCTGATTAAAATGCATGTAAGTTAGAAGTCATTATAAAAAGGTTAACTATTAAAGTAAACCTTAACTTTAGAAATTGAGAAAAAACTATTAAGAAACTTTCTTAATCTGACTAAGGCTATCTACAAAAAACCTACAGGAAACATATTACTTAACAGTAAAGTGTTGAAAGGCTTTCCTCTGATGCTGAAAATGAGATTAGACATATTCATTATCAACATTTCATTGTACTTGAAATCTTCCTAACCAGAATATTCAGGATAAAGTAATAATGACTACACATGTTAGAAATGAGGAAATGTAATTGTCATTATTCCGAAGTGACATTTGTATACAAAGAAAATGACAAATACTTTTCAAATAAATTACCAAAATTAAGTCCAGAAAATTTGCTAGATATAAGGTCAAAAAGCAAATAATCAATTATGTTTTTATGTCAGTAAGTAAGGTAAGTAAAACTTAAAGGCATTACTTATAATAGTAACATAAATCATCAACTTGTCTGTCCATTTGTCAGACTGTGGTGCCTTGTATGTTGCTGTGATGCTGGAAGCTATGTCACAGGTATTGTAAATAGCAGCAGGGTCACCCAGGGTGGAGAGGTTTCAGGTGAGTTTCCAGACTAAGAAAGACTTCACAGAAGGAGAGGCTGACTACTTTTGAATGTTGAGCAACTGACACCCTTATCAATAGCAGTGAAACACAGCTAAGATAGCACCAGAACAATGAATAATGAAATACAATGAAGAATACCAGAATATTGTCAGATATGGTGCCAGAAGATGAAACCCTCAGGTTGGAAAACACTCTAAATACAACTGAGGAAGAGCTGCCTCCTTCCTCTGAATAGAGGTGACCATGATATCCTGAATGGTGTAAAGTTCCGGACCTTCATTTCCAGATGGGTCACAAGGAGAAGCAGCAGTAAACATCCATTAATAATCAGTACATGGAATGTATGAAGTATGAATCTAGGAAAATTGGAAGTTGTCAAAACTAAAACAGAATGCATAAAGATTGATATCTTAGTGATCAGTGAGCTGAAATAGACTGGCACTAGTCATTTTGAATCTGACAATCATATAGTTTACTATGCCAAGAATGACAAATTGAAAAGGAATGGCATCGCATTCATCATCAAAAAGAACATTTCAAGATCTTGAAGTATAATGCTGTCTGGAATAGGATAATATACATATACCTACAAGGAAGACCACCACTCGTCTGTCAGTTTGTCATAATGTGGTGGCTTGTGAGTTGCTGTGATTCTGGAAGCTATGCCACCGGTATTTTAAATAACAGCAGGGTCACCCATGGTGGACAGGTTTCAGATGAGCTTCCAGACAAAGACAGGCTAGGAAGAAAGTATGAGGAACTACTTACTTCCAAATAATTAGTTACTGAAAACCTTATGAATAGCAGAGAAACACTGTCAGATATAGTGCCGGAAAATGGAGCCTCTCAGGTTGGAAGGCATTCAAAATGCAACTGGGGAAGAGCTGCCTCCTCAAAGTAGAGTTGACCGTGATGAGGCGAATGAAGTAAAGCCCATGGAACCTTCATCTGCTGAGCTTCTCTATCATCTCTTTCCACAGATACAGTCAATTTGATTTCTATGGATTCCATCTGGTGAGGTCCATCTATGCAGTCACCACTTATGTTGATTTAAAAAGTATTTGCAATGAATAAGCTCAATGGTCTTGCAAAATTCTATCATGCAATCTCCAGCATCACAAGGTATGTTTTCCAGCTATTGCTTCCTCTTTATTTCCAACTTTCACATTCCAATCACCAGTAATTATTGATGTATCTTGATTGCATATTTGTAACAATTTCAGGCTGCAGTTGATAAAAAGCTTCAGTTTCATAATCTTTGGCAATAGTAGCCTCTGTGTACATTTGAATAATGTAGTATTAACTGGTCTTCCTTATAGACATATGGCTATTATACTATCACTTACAGCAATGTACTTCAAGACAAACCTTAAAATGTTCTTTTTGACGAAGAATGCAATGTCACTCCTCTTCAATTTCTCATTCCTAGCACAGCAGACAATATGACTATCTGTCTGAAAACAGCCAATACTAATCCATCTCTGTTCATTAATGCCTAGGATACCAATTTTCACGAATTCCATTTAATTTCTGACAATTTCCAATTTTCCTAGATTCATACTTCAGACATTCCATGATCAGATTATTAATGGATGTGTATAACATTTTTCTCATTTTGAATCATACCACATCAGCATATGAAGATCCCAAAATCTTTATTCCATCCGTGTCCTGAAGGTCAACACTACTTTGAAGACGCAGCTCTTCCTCAGTCCTATTTTGAGTGCCTTCTACCTTAGGGAGCTTATCTCCCAGCTCTACATCAGATAATGTCTCACTGTTATCCATAAGGTATTCACTGGCCTAGTCTTTTTAACGATGTATCTTTTACTTTGTATCACTAATGTGACTAGCCCAATTCAGAACCCCATCACTCTACTCACTGACTATTTTCCAAGAATAATTATTGAAAGAATTATAAAGACAATAGTTACTCTGGGATAGTAGTTTTCAAACTTTGACAACACAGAGAAATATACTTAAATATACAATATACACACAGTGAGTTACTTGAAGATATGCAAAAATTAATTGTTTCACAAAACACTTTTTAGCCTTATAACACATAAGGTACGTTCTGAGAGTTTTCTCTCATTTTTTCTATTAAATTGTTTCTAATTCTGGCTAGAGATCACCAAAATGATTTTATGAACCATTAAAGAATCACTACCTGTAATTTGAAAAACAATGCTTTGGGATACCACACAAGGAAATATAAATACAATTTAAACTAGAGTAAAAGTTATCAGATGTAAAGCGGCTTGCCCAAGTTTACCTGCCGTAGTTATCTAGTGCTGCTAAAAGAGAACTACCACAGCTAAGTGACTTAAACAAACAGATCTGTATTTTCTCATAGTTTAACATTCTAGAAGTACAAAGTCAGGGTGCTGGCTTTAGAGGAAGGTCTTTATCTATTTGATCACTTCTGGGCAGTCTTCGGGTGGCTTAGCATCTCTTTCCCCCCATCTTGGCTTCTTAACTTGCTTGTTTAATCTTTTTGTTTGTTTAAGTATCTAATTAGACTGCCTCAAAATATACCTTACATGAATCTGTCTGATTAACATAGCCAAGACAACCTATTCCCAATTGGGATTATAACCACAGGCATAGAGGTTAGGATTTATATTACATATATCTATGGGACATAATTCTGTCCAAACATCACTTGTCTATAACAAATGGCAAAACCAAGATTAAAGCTGAAGTGTTTCACTTGTGAGGCTACATCCTTTGTATTTAACAAAATAGTTTTTTTATTATTATTATTACTTTAAATGTTACAAGGCTCCAAAGAGTTCGTGGGGAAACTAAGTGTATGACTGATTCAATGCAAGACATATGATCGGCTCTGTAAACCTTCATTCAAATTCACAATAAAAAGTTTCTGGGGTTTTTTTAAGTATCTATCATGAAGGCCTGGTATGACATTATAGGATCAGCACT